TATTTTATGCATATCGACGTAGCATATTTTGCATATTTTTTGCATATCTCGTGCATATGCAAAATATGCAAAAAATTAAAAAATATGAACCCTTCAAATAATTCTAAATCCTTTGAAACGAATTTGTGTCCAATCAGAATTTCGATATCTTCATTATTAAAAAATATGCAAAATCCGAGGTCTAGTAATGAAAGAGCGAATCTAGCTACTTTGAGGCATTCTTCGACGAAAGAGCCTATGAACTTTGGCACAACGAACCTAGGCGCAACGAGTCAAGATCCACTTGGCCGACTCTGTCTACCAAAAGAACTCACTCACTGTTGAGCCTGAGCAAAGCTGAAATTACGGTAATGACAGGAATCATTATTGGCCACTGCAATATCAGGGCTTTTACAAGTAAATGGGATCTTGATACATTTGATTACTGTAGGGTTTAATTATCCGAGGAAATTTACAAATGTCTTCGTATGCAATATTTTTTTGCCCCATCATGTGGTTCAATTAAGCGGGGAAACCAATTAACCGAATTTATGCAGAAACAATTTTTACTTTTTGAACTGAGAGGTTTATATTGGAATAGTAGTTTTGTGTTGCCATCTTACACCAACAGGTTAAAGATAATTCGAATGCCTACATTAAAAAATAGACGTATTATGTTGAATACTAGGATTACCTAGTTTCTTCTGTTAGAATAAATGTTCCTGTCCGATCTAATAGACACTATCAACTCTTATATGTAGACTACCATCGCACGAATTACTCTGTGGTGGAACCACTGCGTATTGACTTTAACTCTGGATACTCTAATGTAGATTTTTGCATGATAGAATCTAATATTATTGTATTTTAAATGAGTAGTAAAACTTCATAACAAACTGGATGTTGAAGTAGATTCTGTAGCTGATTTTCTATTCCACTCTCAAATCCCATAATGATGCGGATCATGGTGTGTACGCGATCGAAATTCACATCTGACTGCCGGCATATTTACATAGATACCTACCTTGTTCTTTGTTTTTATTTACATTATTATTCTTCTTCGTCATTTGGGCAACCTTCTGCATTCTTAGTTGATCGTATTCATTCAGTTTTTTATTACGAATTGCCAGTATTGGCTCTTTTTGGAATTTATATTTGTTTGTTGTTACGTCAATACTAAATCCACAGCGGCGAAATAAGCCCCATAGCTAATAAATGAAATGAAATATGTATTAACAAGGAATTACAAATTATGTTTGTTTTTATTGTTTTACATTCTCCTGGTGATCCTTAAAACGATTAGTCCATTGCGCAGTTAAATATTGGCGAAATTCCTTTTGTATATTTTTTTCACTACAAGACCAATTATTGTGTGGTCCCAGCATGTTGCATTGGTACAGCTTAAATACGAAATTGCCAATAAATTCGATATCTAAAATAAGGAAAATTATGAATAAATAAAATAAATCAAGATTTTAATATCATCCGTGTGCTGTGTCACAACAAACACACCTTGTGTTGTGAATGGTTGTTCATTTATTTTTGTATTTTTCAAACTTTTTTCCAAGCAGTACATTACGGGATCGTCCATTTTACTCATCTTGCAATTGAAATCCGGCAAAAATTTTAGAAAAAAATATTCACTACTGTAATGGTTTGTCTAGTAGTTCAATCTCATTTATATGCACAAACTAATAATGTTAAATATGTACATATGTATGTCTGCGACGAAAACTATTTGCTTTTGCTTATTAGGCTGACGTCAGAGTGCAAGCGAGAAGCGATGCGATACTACATGCTATAATAGTTCATGCTACTTCAATGCTATAGTATGTCAGAGTGAGTGCTATAGAGAGCAAAGCGTGTTGTTGGTTTATATCGCCTATTTCTGTTGTAAACTGGTGTTTATTGACTCAAGAAGGATTCCGACGAAGAATTTTTCATATCACAAAATATTTTCAAAGTAATTTTTTAAAGAAAATTCATGAAATGAACAAATATTTCTGCATCGATTTCCCTTATTTTTTCCAAATTATTTTATTATTATTTAATTAAATTTGCACTTGAGTCCACAAAAATCCCGACAGATTGGTCCACGCCATTAAAATTCGATAAGATGCAAAAGAACGATGCCAAAAACCGATCAATAACGGTAAATAAAAATAATAAACAAAGAAACTCAAACAGAGCCAAAGCGAGCTCTTGCTATAAACCATTGCACAACACGCTTTATCGCTTGCACTCGCTTTGTCTCGCTTGTAGCGTAGCATCCACTCTGACAGCTTTTGCGCTATGCCATAAGAAAACACACGCAGAGGTTTATAGCGTCGTCTAGCGGCATATCATAGCATCGCTTCTCGCGCGCACTCTGACGTCAGCCTTAAACAAGTTGCTTAGCAGAGCTATGATTCTGTACTGTTGATTTCAAAGCAGCAACAAGACTGCTGATCAACGAAATTTAACGATGTACGTTGCCGTGTGGGAAATGGACATGCCTCATATATATATACATAAATATATGTATATTAGGGACTTCCCCGAAATGAATTTGAAAATAATGAATACTTTTAACAAATTGCATCACTTTGTATACATCTCTGTTAACAGGGTGATCCCGACAAATACATTTTCCGGGCATACAAGTTTTTAATACTGGGTCTGTTCGAAAACTTTTCATGCAAACATTATTTTGCAACTTATTTAATTCACTGATTTTTTCTTTTGAAGTAAACACATGTATTGCATTGGAGAAGATTGAACTACACCTTTACCTTAAAATATGGTTTTCCGACCCAGCTTAATCAATTGTGAGATCTGACAATTTTTAATAGATGGTATAAATGGTATAAATATGTGTGTATGAGTCTGTTAATTATTTATTTAGTATTGCATTTTAATCGCTTTACCCTGCGTCTATAAACGACATTACAGTCGAAGACAATTGAATTTTGTGCATTACGCGTCTAGTTAATTTGAAAAATAATTCTGAAGTCATGAATGAAAATATTAATTTTATTACAATAGAATAATAGATTTTATCAATTTCTTTTATGAAGAATCCATTTCGGTCCTTACTTGCACAAAATAAAATTAAGAAAACAATCAATTTGCTTAAGAACAATTTTTTTGTTTGTATAAAAAACATAACAGCTGATTAAATATCAGCTGATGGTACAAGAAAATTCTTACTGTGTAAGTAATAGGTTCGTTCGTTTATTCAATAATTTGTACAAATTATTACAAAATGTTGTTCGCTTACCCAAAAGTCCATTAAAAGAGAGCGAAATGAGAGAACAGATATTTGCAAATTCTTACAAGGAAACATTTACTCAGTAAGAATTTTCTTGTACCATCAGCTGATAATTAATCAGCGGTTTTGTTATGTTTTGTAAACTAATAACAAAATTGTTCTCAATGAAATATATTGTTTTGTGAAATTCATTTTCAATTTGTATAATTAAACATTAAAATGGATGAAGAAATCGAAAGTATTTATAAACAACATCAATTTTTCGCTGTTATCAATTTTTGTTTGTTGTTTTAATAAGCTGTGTCGATACAATCTAAAGTCGCAATTTGCAGCCTTTTTAATGCCCTGTATCTCTGTTTGCAACTTTTTAAGCTTTGTGCGACTTTTCTTCTCTATTTTTGTTAAGTTGTTTTTCCATTTTTATATATAAATTCAAACTAATTTGTGAGGCTTTTCCAGGATCTGGCGCAGAGTGAAAATCTGGTAAATTTGCAGGACCTAAAGTCGCATTTGTATGGTCCAATAATGTCATTGTCCATTGGCTTCAGTCATTCACACAGTACGCTGTATAACACTTTATATGCGATGGGAAGAAGAGTTATACGGCGTTTACATTATAACTTTTTACCTGGTTAACCTTCTCTATTAAGATTTATTTGACATATATACAATTGAATTAATAATTTAAACCCACTGGGTTAACGAAATCAGTTAAAATGTAAACGCCGTATTATTTCCGTACAGTTGGCACATATTGTCTTGCCTTCTTTTTTTCTGCACAGAATGCTGAGGTTCCAATCGTTGGGCATGCATTCCTATAGCCAAATTGTACTAATCAGCTGTTGCATGCTCCTGACTGATCTGACCACCGGTCTTGAATAGTTCGGCTGGTAATCCGTCGGCACCTGCTGCTTTATTGTTCTTCATCCGATTAATTGCCACATCTTGGCTAGGTGGTAAATTGGGTAACAACCGGAAAATTGATGTTGTTTATAAATACTTATGGTTTCTTCATCCATTTTAATGTTTAATAATTAAATATCAAAATTGAATTCACAAAACTATCAATTTGTTTGAGAACAATTTTGTTGTTTGTTTACAAAACATAACAAAACAAGCTGACTAAATATCAGCTGATGGTACAAGGAAATTCTTACAGAATAAATGTTTCCTTGTAAGAATTTGCAATTTTCTCTCTTGAGAAGGAAAAATTCGTATTTACTCGGCTGCTGACTTGATCCGTCTGTCGCACATCCTTGCACCTAGTACGTCATAGTCGAAGAACTAGGCATTACTTCAATAAATATATTTTCAATAGTTTTTGATAGAAGCGACAACGAGAATGTCTATTGGGGATATAATGACTTAATTAATATTTGTTTCTTCTTCTTTCTATCCTTATTTTATTAAACGGCATCTACATTAGAACTTTTTACTGGATTAACCTGGTTTGTGAGGATTTATTTGACATATATGCAAAGGGATTGACAATTGAAACCCACTGGGTTAACGAATACGGATAAAAGTAAACGTAGCATAATATTTATTAATTGGGCAATATTAAATATTTTTATTCTTAATAATTTCTTTTGAATAATCACAGGATATTTTACTTTTATAAATGCATTTCTGTTAGATTTCTATTATATCTATTTTGCATGGTTGCAATGCAGTGGAATATACCAATCACTCATACAACAAGGGACCAGTGAGAACAAAACGATTCCGAATAATGTTTTGTACAAATTACCGGAATTCTACTGCATTCGTTGAGCGATTTCTTATTCATGTTTCCATTGGGGTTTACGTTTTTCCACAAAACTTTTAAGGCCTTCTTGAGAATCGCCGAGGGCAAGATTTTCCGTCATTTTCTAAATCAAAGCAAAATATATACATCGAATTATATTAAAAAATAACAACAACAATTTATACTCTACCTCAGCACCAAGCTTGTAGGCCTCTTCAATTGGTACATTTAATTGTTTATAGAAGAAGTCCTTGCCCAAAGCAATAACCGAACGGCTTTTATGTTTAATGGCATCCGTAATATGGTCAACTTCTTTATCCAAATCTTTTTCGGGGACGACACGACTTACCAGGCCTAAAACAGAAATTCAATTAAGGTTAAAAAAAAGTTAAAATACCATATATCAAATGCTGACCTGCTGTATACGCTTCCTGAGCTGTCAAAGGTAAGCCCGTCATTACCATATATGCCGCCTGTGTCCTGGGCATAACACGTGATATAGCTATACCCGGTGTAGAACAAAATACACCAAAATTAGCACCAGGTGTTGAAAATTTACTATTTTCCGAAGCAACAATCAAATCACAGGAGGCAACCAATTGACAACCAGCCGCTGCTGCCAAACCGTTAACTTTGGCTATAACCGGAACTGGTGCCTTATAAATATTCATTATGATTTCACTTAATTTATTGAAAATTTGTGTTTGATATTCGACACCACCTTTCTCGGGTAGCAATTCTTTGAGATTATGACCCGCGGACCACACTGGACCTTTTGCCGTTAATACAATGGCACGTAAATCTTTATTTTGCCATTCGGCGGTTAAATCCTCCAGAATGGCATTCATCATGTCCATTGATAGGGAATTACGTGTCTTTGGTTCGTTCAGACATATTTCACGGACACCATCACATTGTGTAACTTGGGTGAAACCATTACCAGCAGCAGCACACACAGTTGTGGTGTGGAAAGAAGATCTACTAAGGCCGTTTGTGGCAGTCTACAAAATAATAACAATAATAGATAATAAAGTAATCAGGAATTATTATAGATATATATTATTTTTTTCTTACTTTTGTTAAAAATCTCAAAGTGTTCATCAACATCATCTTGGAACTTTTTCCTTATCATAATTGGCAACAGGTGTTGGGAATATTTAAAATCATCTGTTTTGCAGAAAATAAAATGTCAAGCACAAGTCAACTCTGATTTTTAGGTTATGAATCAATTTGACTGTTAAATTTAAATGCGTTTAATTATTTAAATTTTGTTTCGAATATATTTGCAGTGCTTAGGCTACGTTTACATTTAACCGGATTTCGTTAACCCAGTGGGTTTCAATTTTCAATTCCATTGCATATATGTCAAATAAATCCTCATAGAGTAGGTTAACCCCGTAAAAAGTTGTAATGTATATGTCGTTTTATATGTGGGAATCGTCCTAGATAATATTGGTTTGATAAAGGTCATAGGGATGTCATCTTAATCCAATGATGATCACTGGATCTATAATTGAGTCTCTACATATAATAAACTCGGACCGGGAAATTTCTCTTCACCTTTCCAGATCACAATACAATCGTTCAGTGGTTTATTCGAGCAATAAATTACTTTCGGAACATCAATAAAGATCCTAGCGAATAGCAAATAAAAACAATAACCTACAAAACAGTTAAATCCGTAAATACGTCTACGGACAATTTCTCTAGATATACCTATTACACTGCCCCTTCAGAGCCAATTCGTGGGAACTGTCGCTGAACATAGCCTTACTAACATAAGGGGGGTTTGAATGGCAAAGTCTAAAGGAATCTGAATAATAATATAAACTAATAAAATTATGTAGAGAGCATAAGACTTCTATCAATACCTATATAGGTTTATTTCAAAAACTCTGCATTGTTCCAAGATTGTACGTGCATTTCGATCCAGGCCATCGAGCTTGATGTTAATTGCAGCCAACCTATGTATCAATTGATGGCACTGCCAAACCTCCTACTTTGGTAAGATCCGCTAGATTTACAGTGAAATAACGATAACTAGATGTAATGAGGAACCCGAATGTATAACCTCAAAATCTATTTGGCGGTAATCTACAATCGTATAACTAAAACATTGATTTCTATTGGTAGGAAATAGCTAAAGATACCTGAAAGGATTATCCATCTCTTTTCAAAATGGGTAATGCAAGTATTAAGAGGAGACAGAAACGATCAAACAACTATTCTGTCGATGTCAAATGCTTTAAAACAGAAGATATCAAATGTTTGGTAGATAGAAGATAGACTTATTAGTCTATTTTTCCAACATATACCACAAAAAACATTTACAGCTCTACCAAAAACTTGCTACTATAGTATAACAATAGGTTCGTTCGTTTACTTCCCCAATAACATTTACTCAGTAAGAATTTGCAGAAATTAAAATACGAATTTTTGGTTTCAAGGGAGAAAATTGCAAAAAGTAAACGATCAACATTCCAGTAAAAAGATTGTATCGACACAGCTGATTAAAACAACAAACAATTTGGCGCATACAAAAAAGCAGCATTTTTGTTAGAAAAATGGAAATATGCATTTCATAGTATTTTCTACTCGATTTTGGAATAAATGACAAACTTTCAAACTTTTTTCGCCTTTTTAAACACAACAACATGTTGCTAACAATTTTTTTTCCGAGGGCTCTAATTTCAGAATTTTTTCCGAGCTTTCTGATTTTTTTTTTAGAAATTTGCCAATTTCTCTAAAATTTTCTTAGTAATTGGATCGAATTTCTTTCTGATTTCCTTCAGAATTTCTGCACATTTTGCCGAAAATCGTATGAAATTCGGAAGAAAATATCCCAAACGGAGAATAGACTCTCTATATAAATCCGTGTACCGGTTTTGCATTCTTTTATATTTTCAATTGTTGTTCAGAAGTGGAAGCAAAAGCGTGCATGAGTTGGATACAAGCGTTAAAAAGTGTTTACAAATAAAAAGCGATTTTAAATTCTGTATGTCGATTGGCATATTTTCAATAAATTAAACAAAATATATTTTCTAAAGCTGAACATTGCTTTCAAGATTTAACCATGGTTTTTACATCTTATATTTATATGTTTTAGGGGCAGGGAACTTCAAAATATTTATAAATATAAATTATTTAGAAATTTTTGCCACTGAACACATGATATGCGTACATTTCGAAGGTGGATATTTTCATTTAAATTTTGAAAGCTGAATGTTGTCAAAAGAAAAATTATAAAAAATTGGAATTATATATCTGCATGAGACTACCTTGTGTAATTATGCCATGAAGTTTATTTAAAAAAAGTTACAGGTCATTTTGCAATTTCAGTTGCTTTAGTTTTGACCATCACTGTATATATATTTATGTATAGTGTAAATATATAATTAAATCATTACCATTAATTTGCATTAAAAAATATCTGAAAAATTGTGTACTAACAAAATTTATATGTGTATTTGGGTATCTAAATAAAACCACACAGTTTGTATTAAATTATTGTTAAATGGAATACGATGAATACATTCAACGTGAACATTGGACTTCCTATAGAATAGTATGAATTATATTTTCAGATGGGTACGAACATTATTATTTAACAAACTAGCTAACCTAAGGATCGGTTTGTGACAGTAGGAATATTTTTTCTTCTACGATTCCAGTGGGTCAATTATATTTCTGTGCTTAATCTTTATATCTTCAGTATAAAGAAAATCTGCCACTGGGTTTGAAAGTAAAGCAATTATTTTTTAAACATCTAAACATTTTTTAACTTGGGGAGGAAGTCTTAGTTTTGGTACATTGCATGAAATGTATATCCTATTAAAACAGTATAAATTATCTGGATTCATTATTTATTTATTTCCAATAATCTCAAATGTTTTCTTAATTTTAAACCTTATTAAACGTCTTTATTGAAAAATATATCAATTTCAAATATAATTTTTTTTTATTATAAAAATATATTTTTTTTACTAAACAACTACTTAAATGCAATAATCCGTAACCATTTTTAAAAAGTGAAAACAAATGTTCTGTTCCAGTATTTTTTTTAATAGTAAAGCTAGAAAAGGGAATAACGTCAAAGACACTCTCAGAGTACAAAATAATTTGAAATATTCGGAAATGGAAATCTAGTAAATCAGAAGTTGGCAGTTTACCATTTTTTACTCGCCCAAATTTCTCGAGTAAAAAGTTTACAAAGAGAAAGTCATTTTGTTTTGGTTTCTCTTAAAAATTTGGTAGACATTTTTTGCTATTTTTGTGGGTTGAGGAACGATTTTCGAGTAAAAAGTGGCAAAACTCTTTAAATTTGTGATTCTTGCAGTTTCTGGAACAGAACTAAAGTTTCATATTTTAAATTATATGAAAAAGAAAACAATAATATTTGTTTCTTCACATTTACAAGTGAGACCAAACCGGTTTACGTTTCTCCATAAAGCTACGCAGACCTTCTTTGGAATCATTTAATTTCAGGTTTTCAGTCATTTTCTGTAAAAGAAAAGGCATAATGAAATTCAATATTTTTTCTTTGAGGAAACTAATTTAAATAAGTCCCCCTTACCTTGGCACCTTGTTGGTATGCCTCCTCCATAGTTAGTTCTAATTGTTGATAGAAAAACTCTTTACCCAATGCCAATACCGAGCGACTCTTTTGTTTAATGGCATTGACAATTTTTACAATTTCTGCATCCAATTCTTCAGTGGGTACCACGCGACTCACCATGCCCTGAATGTAAGCATCTTTGGCACTTATCGGATGTCCAGTCATTAACATATCCAAGCACTTGGAATGTGACATTACCCGGGTCATGGCAACGGCTGGGGTGGAGGCAAAAACACCAAAGTTTGCACTGAAAGAAAAAGAGAAACAATGAAAAATGGAACAAATGAACACGTCACCAACACTCACCTTGGTGTTATGAATGAACTCTTCTCCGAACAAACAATAATATCACATGAGGACACCAATTGGACACCACCGGCCGCCACAACACCATTCACCTTGGCCAAGACGGGAACCGGTGCTTTTCGTATATTATAGATAACTTCGGTTAATTTTTCGAAAACAGCTCTTTGTTGTTCTTCACCCCGTTCGGGTACTAATTCCTTTAGGTCATGACCTGATGACCAAACCGGCCCAGTTGATGAAATTATAATGCAACGCAAATTTGTGTCTTCCCATGTTTGTTTTAGGCCACTGAGAATTTCATCCATCATGCCCAGGGATAAGGCATTACGTGTCTTGGGTTCATTGAGGCATATTTCACGTACTCCATTGGTTTCGGAGATTTGACAAAATTGTCGAGTTGCATTGGTGGACATTGATGACGTAGTTGTTGTTGTTGCAGTTCTTGTATTTAAGGCACATAAATTACTGCTAATTGCACTTAACATTGAGGGCTGAAAGAAATAAGAAAGTTTTATTAATAAATAATTTTTAGTTCTGAAAGAAAGAAGAGTTTTCAAATAACTTATTTTTCTTTCTTAATTTTTATAGTCAGTTCCTCTTCAAGAATTGTCTGTAAAACAAAGAAAAGCAACAAATTCGAATGCTTCTTTATTTATTTAGGTGATTTTGTGTCCAAGGTCAACGTTATATCACAACAAGCCTTTATGCGTTGAGTCCTTGCACTTAATAAAGTATCTATTCCAATTCATTATTACTTTATTCCATAGAAACAGATGACGCAGCATTATTTGATATCCAATATTTTATGTCTTATCACTTAAAATCAAAATATGTTAATATAATTGTGAACATTGTCAACAGGTAGGTAGGCAGATTAGTTTGTTTGGTTGGTTGGCGTTTTAGTGGGGCACTGGCTGAGTGCATTCAAGTGAGCGAGAGTGAGTGCTTGAGTGGCGGCGGGAGAGCGAGAGTCAATTGTAGAGGTTATATCTTAATTAAACAAATTCGAATAAATAAATTTGTATATTAAAATAATAATTAATTATATCACAACTGAAAGCCTAGACTTTAGTTTTTTTTTTATAATTCAAATACAATTTATTTGGTATTCATTTTTAAATTGACATCTCTTCTCAATTGTTAATGCAGGCCAAAACAATAACAAATATGTAAATAAAAACAGGTGATCACGCAAATATGGCGAAGTAAACAAAATAAAAGCGTTCCAGAGCCTAATGTCACCTGAAAATTTGTTATGATATGAGATGGGAAAATCAAAATAGTACTTTTTTTAGTTTGATAGTGTACTTTGTAGTTTGAAAATATGGCAACATACAACGGCATGTGAAACAGCTGTTTATTGTTTTGATGCAATTTGGTGCAACAACTGAAACATATTACAAACAAAATACAGTATTTTTCGGTTAATTGACCCTACGGTTAATTGGTTTCCACGCTTAATTGAACCACGAAAAATATTTCATAGGAAAATACATGTAAATTTTCTCGGATAATTAATCCTGTTAATTGATTCTCCCGCTTAATTGGTTCAAAATTCATGCCATCAAAAATAAATTTCCTTTTACTCTTCACCGGTTAATTGCATAATAATAACTGAAAAATAATCTGCCTTTTTTGTATACATATTTGACATAATTTGTGAAAAAGACTAGGTGGTGTCTCCACTAATTCAAAACATATGTTTATTGCTAAGGAAAAACTGCGAGAAAGCATAATTTGTATTTGACATTCGGGTTCGGATAATTGGTTCCTCGGTTAATTGAACAAAAATTTGTGCAAATTTTGATATGCAATTAACCGAAAAATACTGTATCTTTTTTAAGTTTTGTTTTTTTTTTTCAGAATCTGGCGCAGAGTGAATATCTGGTCAATGGTGGATCTGCCAGGTCCAATAATGTCATTGACCATTGGCTTTAGTCGTTCACACAGCACGCTGGATAACTATTTATATGCGATGGAAAGAAGACTAATTCCTCTATATTTGGAATATCGTCTTGTTTCCTTTTTTGTGCAAGGGATACAAGATGCTGAGGTTCCAATCATTGAGCTTGCAAATTGTACTAATCAGCTGGTGCATGCTCCTTACCAGCATCTGACCACCAGTTTTGTATAGTTCGGCTGGTAACCCATCGGCTCCTGCTGCTTTATTGTTCTTGAGCCGATTAATTGCTATTCTGCCCTCATCTTGTCTATGTGATATACACTCTATACCGTCATCTCTTATTGGTTCTGGGGTATCTTCTTCACCGCCACTATTCGATACCAATAGTTTTTTCAAAATTATCCTTCCAGATCCTCAACACGCTGTCTGTAACTGTCACCAGGTTTCCTTATTCATCTCTACAGGAAAATGTGCCTGCATCAAAGCCTTCGATTTGGTGTTTTAGTCGTTGGTAAAATTTCTGGACTCACGTTTTTCCTGTTCTTTCTTCTTTTTTGAAAATACGTTTCTCCTCTCTCCTTTTCTCCCGATAATTCTCCATCGCATTACGTGTTGCTACGTTTTTCACATCAGTAGCATTACGACACTCCTGATCGTACCATAGGTTTCTTGATGATAGTTTTTGTTGCTTTTGCTGCAGTTTAGGGAGTGAGCAATTCTTTCCCATTGTGCTTCTATACTATTATCGGGACAAGAAGTGCTTTCGTCAAGCAAGTTGAGCGGAGTAGGTTTCTGCTACCTGTTGTGTTTGTAGCTTTTCGACGTCGAGTTTCCGTGTAATGGTCCGAATCGATATTCGCTCCTCGTATCGATCGAACATCTAAAACACTGGATGAATGCCTTCCGTCTATTACAACATGACCAACTAGATTTCTCGTTGCTTGATCCGGAGAAAACCAGGTGGCCTTGTGTATATCGACGTGCTTGAATTTGGTGCTGCCAACTACCTCATGCCGTTGTCGGATGTTTCTTCATGGAGGCTGAATTTTCCGACAGTGGGACCAAAAATATTTTCCCTTCCGATTTTTGCATTAAAATCTCCTAGAAAAATTTTAATGTCATGGCCAGGGCAGCGTGCATATGCAGTTTATAGGCGTTCGTAAAAAATGTCTTTGGTCTGTTCATCTTTGTCTTCGGTCGGAGCATGAGCGCAAATGAGACTGATGTAGAAGAACTTCGCATTTATACGCATTTTAGCAATTCGCTCATCTACTGGAGTGAATCTGGAGACGAGGTCTTTTAATTTCCTGTTAACCATAAATCCGCAGCCAAATTCATGTCTCGTTTCATGGCAGCTATAATACAGAGCGTAATCGTCTGATTTACTTACGCCTGTCAATTTCCATCGCATTTCATGTAAGGCAATAATATCTTGAGTACATCCGCCAAAGCGAAAACTATTTTTTCGAGTAAAAAGTTTACAAAGAGAGCGCCATTTTGTTTTGTGTTTTCTTAAATTTGGTTCAGTTTTGTGGGTTCAGGAACGGCTTTCGAGTAAAAAGGCGCAAAACTTGTAAAATTAGCAGATTCCTTCAGGTTCTGGAACGGAACTATGGTGTTATTTAATAGTAGGTTGTACATGTTCCGAACAAGAAGTGTTCCAAATTACAGACACTATACACCCGTTTTTACACGGTAGATTGGTTCCAAGAGAAGCCGTGTAAAAAAAGACATTGATCTTATACATAAAGGGAATTTCCCTAAATTACTGTTATTCACATTTGCTTTGACCAGTAATAATTGTTTGTACGCGCTAAATGGGAATTCACTTTTTTCTTTCATAAATACTTTTTTGTGATATGAAGATACTTCGCAAAAATTAAATTTGACAAAAAAATGTAAGTACATAAAATTTCAAATCGTGCTAAATGGAATAAAATCGTCTAAAAAAATTAAAAATATTCAATTTTCAAAACCGTGTACAAAAAGACCGTGTAAAAACAGACTTAGGTGTAGTTGGAAAACTTAAACGGGACAAAATTGGTCTCACAACTTATTTTGACAGATGTTCGAATTCCAAAGCAATACTTTTTTTACGGCGCTTAATTTTAGTGTAATGTTTCTTTTCGAACACTGGGTTTGAATGTGACAGCTAATTGCACCAACAGCTGTTCTCATGCAACTACCATAGACACAATTCTACTACTCCATTTACAACAATAAAAACAGCTGATTAATTATTATTTCAAATTATTAAATAATGATAATTGAAAAAAAAAAATGAAAGATCCCCAACATTACTATTGATATGAACGAGAATAATAAAATCAACAACAATTTATTTTATGTAAGGATGTGAAATATTTTGATTCTGACTATTTCGAACAGCACTACTCAATTGAGAAATTAATCAACATTTGTACATATTTTTTTTTCAAAAGTAGTTTAGTGTTTCTCCTTTTTTTGTTATCAATTTCTTTTATTGATAAGAAATTGAAAACCTAATCTAAATGGAAACAACAAGATTACAAACTGACATACAGTGCGTTCGTTGCTGTTGAATATTAACCCCTTTCAATATTTTTTTTATATTTAATTGTCGTTTCAGTTGTTTTTATTCCATCACGGTGTTCAGAGCGGTGGCGGCAACGACAACGTAAACGACAATCGATTCTTTTTTAAGTGATTTGTGATTTTTGCATTTAATTTGGATTAGTGTACCTGAGACAGAAAAAAAAAACATTTCACGCATTTAAAACGAAAATGAAACCATTTAGCGGCACGGTCAGCAGCATGGATTGCAGTAAACTTATTACGGAAAACCTAAATCGTTTGTTTGCCAATCGTGAACCTTGGCAAGTTGCCACAATAACAGCCACAGCTGTATTAAGCTCTGTCTGGTTATGGAGTTTTATTAATCAGGATGAAAGTAAGTAAGACGATACAATGGAAGATTGTTTTTCTGGAACAGGTTAAATATAGGAGCTGGATTGGTGATCGATCTGAAATTTTACAAAATAAGTGATTATTTGATGAAGTAGGAGCCAATAAAAGTTAAAGTTTTTTCGGACTTCCGAGGCCAATATCTCAGGAAGTATGAATTTTCCCCCACATAATATACATATTGACGTAATAAGCATACCAAGACCTGTGGTCTTCGATACCACTCCAGCTCCTATATTTAAATTATGCCAATTTTTTTGTTGCCTATTGGAAGGGGTATTGTGAAGTGGGAATCTTAATAAAATGTTTTATTAACCCACTTTATCGCTATTTCTAATCGCTTTTTTATTAGTTAATTTTGTAGTTTAGTTCTCATGGAAACCGGAATATATTTAAGAGGATTATAATGTAATTTTCGTGAAATTAATTTCGAATCACCTTCGGGCCAAAGAGCGTACCAAACAGTGACTTTTTTGAAACAATGAAATGGATAACCCGCGAAAGCTACTATGGATCTATCTCGTTTCCACGAAAGAGGGGTCTACGATCCGAAACGACTCTTACTCGTTTCGGGTGATGTAGGGTATACAAATTTAATGATCGCCATATTACCTTTAACTAAGACGACCAGATTTCGGAAATAAAAATAGATGACGTCAAGAAAAACTTGAAAATTTTTTAAATAGTTCACATCACCATATAAACAAATATATATTTACTTAAATAAATATTGATTATGGTTTAAAAATATAGATGACTAAATATTACAAGATTATAGAAATTAATGTCCTTGTAATAAGATTCAAATAGGTTAGCTGTTGTGGTTTAATTTTTATATTTTTTTCTGAGAGTTGTTTCCAATCGATTTTTAATACATCCAGAATTATTAAACAAGTTTAAACGATGTTAAGTTCGGCCTGGCCAAACTTTTTATACCCTCCGTCATGAGGATGACATTAAAAATATGTGAAACATATGAAAATGTGTGAAACAGGGATCAATATTGATTAATATATTTCAACCGGGCAATTCGGTTGAAAATGTGTGCAAAATCTCCAAAATACCGAATGTTGGGGGCAACGTTATATAAGGCCTACACCAAAACGTGGGCGCATATATATTTCATTTGCAATACCAAACATCCTAGTAGAATTAGGAATGACTGTTGAAAATTTCAGAAATATTTCGAGGTGTTGCAAACGGAATGACAAATACAGCCTTATTCTGGGCATCAATTCACCGTGAATTTGTTTGCCGTTCCCTTTAAAGTTATTCTGAACCAGAACTCGCAGAGATTTTTTTTCGCATTTTCACTTTCCCCCTATTCGGAATCAAGTTCAAAAGCGAAAATTCCGCTTTGGGAAAAATTAGTTTTTCTGGATTACAGAGAGTGGGAGAATGTGATGACACTTTGTGCGAAATTTTTCGCTAATAAATTTAAAGGGAGCTGACTACCAAAATATAAGTATTAAATATTTTTATGAAAAATATGTAAACAATACTTATTCTATGACGATTTTGAATATTATAAATGGTTGTATGCATATTTTTAACACAGAAATATGCTCAATTGGAGATCCTATTGATAACGATGCGTGCTCAACCAAATATTGAAAATTATGGAATAACCATATAGCCAAATTTACCTGATTAGTCGCATAACAGCGAAAAACTCAAATAAAAATTGTGAAACAACAGTAATAAGGCAAAAAAAAAAAAAGGAAGGAAGGAATAATGGAAGAGGAGCATATCAAAATAATTGGTCACAATAAGAATTTGGGGAGATAAAATATCGAAATTATATAAAAATACACATAATTATAACTAAAAACGGGAAAATGAAATAAAAGTTAAAATTTGTTCCTAAAATGCATTCAGAATTGTTATAAAAAATAATTTCATTACATTTCTATTTCTATTGACATGTTAGGGCTGCTTCAGGTGAATAACAAAGAAGCAACTCTGCAGGCTAGTGACTTTTTCTGTTAGATATAAAAAAACATGTGCAACAAGTGGTTGTGTTTTATTTGATATTTTTTAACACATAACTTAAAACGCCAAAAGTGAAAGAAAAGTTATCGGGTATGTTCTAGAACTCACGGTGTGTTCTTTTCACTTTACACATACACTTCACCTCAGAAGCTACCTCCTGTTCTGGTTCTCACGTGAATTGAAATTTTGAACTGCGACAAAAAGAAACGTCGACATGGTACTTTGCAGAAATAGTGTTGCCTTCCAATATAGACTGTTTTCGTTTTTAACATTGTTTCTGTATTTTTTAGTAATTTCGTTAATTCTAACGACAATTTTATTATTATTTTTTTTATATTTTATTATTCGCAACACAAAATATATGTATGGAAGACATTGTAATATCATTAATTTGTTTAGGGATTTAAGGGGAACATTTGGTAACCCTATCTTTTTCGGCCTTACTTCAAATCAGCTGTTTGTGTCAAGCGAGAAATTCAGTTGAAGAAAATTGAAGACAAACCTTAGTGTCTATTTAAAATTTGCTTTTAATGGTGTTTCATGTTCATTTTGTGATTTTAAACAAATTATACGCAATAATAACATTTCAATCTATCATCATGTGCCTTTTTTATTTCAAAAAAGTTTTTCTTTTATATGAAAAAACATGAATACACCCGACTCTCACTATGAAAATGTAAGTGTAAAGAATACACCTCAAATGGGTGTAAAGTGTGTTACAGAACACCTCGGCGTGTGTTCGATACACTTCTGCCGTTGAAGTGAATGCCAGAACATGCCCGTATAATTTGTTCCAAAAATCGAGTAGGGAAGGGTTTATTTCGTCCATAACAAAGTTATTACTTCCAGACGAACGAGGTATAAAATCATTTTCATTTCAAAAATTCAAAGCATTTAAACAGTACACACACATAAACAAAATTTGTATTTGTGTTATTGGTTCGATTTTCTCAAACTGCCTTGAGACAAAAATTGTAATCGCATGTTAGATATTGGCCTGTTCCCGTACTGCAAGAATCTACTAATTTTTACTACTTTTTCCGATATCATAAAGGAAATATTTTTTTCGCAGTAAAAGTTGGACATTCTTGCAATTTCTGGAACAGACCATATGTTAGCTACCTTATAGTAATTATGCCATGGGTTCAAATATGCTATCTGTCGCACTATTTTTATATTTTTCTGAGAGTTACTTCCAATCGATTTTTAATGTAACTCAGAATTGGGATTTTGTTTCTCATTTTCGGAAAAAAATTATCAACAATTATTAATGGGGTTTATTAATTTTCGTCCTTAACATATGAAAACAAAATTGCCGATATTTCCAGTATTCCACTGCAGTAATAGATTACTGGAAATTTAGTAAATAATTTAGAGTCACCTTAAAAAATCCAAAATTTCGGCAAAAATATTTCATTTTGTCTATAAAATACTTAAGTTCTAAAATAAAATATTCTATTTTGAAGAAAAAAATCTATCAACATTATTTTCTCCAAAAACCCCACACCTTTACCATTGCACACCCTTTATGATTTATTAGCATTTGCATGTTATATATATTTTTTATTTTTGTCGTTGTTGGTGTATTTTTACAACAAAAAAGGTCATTAAGCTTTTAATGGTAACGCCATAACCCAACAATTGTTTTGGCAATTCTCGACAGAATTTACTTTGATCTTTGTGTAATAAACGTGTTTTTTAAATGTTATTTTATAAAAATTAAATAAAAATGTTGTATTGAAATAATTCTTTGGAATCAAAAATAACAACAAAAACAATAACATAATGACTTTATTATGAGTAATGTACATATCCATTAAAATGAAGTCTTTGTTGTTGTTTTCGAACAAAAGAATATGGTCAGCGTTAGACAAAGGAAGGTTTATCGAAACGCAGTAGCTAAAGATATATTTTTTTGATCTTTTTATTTATTAAACAAAAATGTTTTACTGAGTAAAGAAGAAGGAGACCACAGGTCTTTATAAAGACCATTTGGACTATATGGAGACCACAGGACTTTATAAAGACCAATTGGGCTGTATGGAGGTCACAGTACTTTATAAAGGCCAATTGGTCGCAGTTCTAACTTTAAATCCACGATTATTCATTGGTATTAAAAAAGTAGAATTGTTTAAATGTCCTTCACTTAAAAAAAATCAATAAAAACTTCAATAGTTCTTCAAAAAGCAAATTTATTTTTTTAAAAATACCTTTTCATGCGAAAAAATAATACTGATAAAGAATTTCTCATGCGTTGATATGGTGTTACCATTGGTGGTCTTTGCAAAAATACATACATATATATTTTTTAATTGAAATTTGTTGTCAAATTTTCTAATCTCTAATTAAGTTTGATGCATTGCAATCTAGTAGCACGTAACAATCGTAAGAATATAGAAACTATGTGGTATTACGCTTATCAGGTTGGTCATTGTGTATTTCTAAAACTTAAAAAAAAATAAATTTCCATTTAAAATGGTCTAATCGATAACACTAGGTGTAGTAGCTTTAACGTGGCTTATCTATGGCCATAGAGTGATTATTGCCAAAAAGGTTTCTAAAAATGCCGGTAAACTAAGGATGATGAATTAAAAAAATATTTATATAAATTGTTTATCTTCCCAGGCCAGATATATATTAGGAAAGTTTTGTTTTCCCCACATTGATTATGATTCATTTCGATAATTGGAACTTGAACTCTACAATGAAATTTGGTTTAAATGAAATTTGGTTTATCTAAAAAACGGCATGGCCTAACTATTTACGTATGGACGTTATAATTGATATTATTCCCAAATTTATTATGCAACTAAGGCCAATATTTTGTTTAGTGGTTATTTCCATTTCAATTTCTCGCCATTACATTCTAGATGAGAAATTTCCAACAACAACAACTAACTAACTGACCTTTGTACATTGGATAATTTTTCATTACTACAGCTAATAATAGGCAGAGTTGTTTTATCTTGACACAAAATATGACGAAATTCTTCCATTACGTTCGATAAAATTGAAAAAAAAACATGACTTGACTTTATTGTTGTGTCTGCATATCACTATTTGTTATTCCACCCAAAATCATAAATCATTTGTTTATTATTCAGATTTGGTTGTTGTTATTGCAAATATGTACATTAATATGTGTTTTTTTCGTTCATGTCTGATTGATTAGATTTTATTGAATACAAGTTGGCTGATCCGAGTACAACAGTGCTAAGTAATTTGAACTACTTTAAAGTATTTTTTTTATGGCATGTTCATGTGAGTGTAATTTTATTTCTTAGCCAATAATTTAGTTTAGATGTGTGTGTTGTTGAGTCACTTGAGGTATAAAATTGGGACTTTCATTTTCGGAGCAATCGTGGAATTAATCTTTAAGGATAATCATGATGTGGCCGCGTGAAATACATTAAAAGTCTCGAAAATGAAATTATAAGTCTTGAAATATAAAATTACAGCCATTTTTAATTGGTCTGTTTGGAGACCACAGGTCTTTATAAAGACCAATTGGTCTGTATAGAGACCACAGGTCTTTATAAAGACCAATTGGTCTGTATAGAGACCACAGGTCTTTATAAAGACCAATTGGTCTGTATAGAGACCACAGGTCTTTATAAAGACCAATTGGTCTGTATAGAGACCACAGGTCTTTATAAAGACCAATTGGTCTGTATAGAGACCACAGGTCTTTATAAAGACCAATTGGTCTGTATAGAGACCACAGGTCTTTATAAAGACCAATTGGTCTGTATAGAGACCACAGGTCTTTATAAAGACCAATTGGTCTGTATAGAGACCACAGGTCTTTATAAAGACCAATTGGTCTGTATAGAGACCACAGGTCCTTATAAAGACCAATTGGTCTGTATAGAGACCACAGGTTTTTATAAAGACCAATTGGTCTGTATAGAGACCACAGGTCTTTATAAAGACCAATTGGTCTGTATAGAGACCACAGGTCTTTATAAAGACCAATTGGTCTGTATAGAGACCACAGGTCTTTATAAAGACCAATTGGTCTGTATATAGACCACAGGTCTTTATAAAGACCAATTGGTCTGTATAGAGACCACAGGTCTTTATAAAGACCAATTGGTCTGTATAGAGACCACAGGTCTGTATGGAGACCACAGGTCTTTATAAAAACTAATTGGTCTGTATGGAGACCACAGGTCTTTATAAAGACCAATTGGTCGGTATGGAGACCACAGGTCTTTATAAATATTTCGAATATTTTTTATTTATTTTATTTTTAAATTATTTTTCCTTCTCATTTTTCCTTTTCCAGGCATTTACACCCGCGGTAAAAGACAATTTTTCCGTTATTTAAAAAAAGTTCCAGCCGTACGTCGTAAAATCGAATCGGAATTAAGCAAAGCCAATCAAGATTTCGAAGGTGAAATTGCCAAATTGACTGGTACCCTCGAATATTGTTTGCAGCTACCCGAAAATGGTTTGACCAAAGAAGAAATCCTCAAATTAATGGATGAACATTTGAAATTGGGCCACTATGATTGGCGTGATGGACGTGTATCGGGTGCCGTCTATGGTTACAAAGAAGATTTGGCTGAACTTGTGACAGCAGTCTATGGTAAAGCATCCTATACAAATCCTCTACATCCTGATATTTTCCCCGGCGTTTGCAAAATGGAAGCTGAGGTGGTGAAAATGGCCTTGGCCCTGTTTCAGGGTGATGAGAAATGTTGTGGCACAGTAAGTTCCCTATAAAGTGATTGCGACATTTAAATTAAATGTAGTAATTTTTATTTTTCTGGTTGTTTTTACTTAGATGACCACCGGTGGCACCGAATCCATTGTTATGGCCTGCAAAGCATATCGTGATTATGCCCGTGAACATAAGGGTATTACCCAGCCCAATATGGTTGTACCAAAAACCATACACGCTGCCTTCGATAAGGCTGGTCAATATTTCAATATTCATGTGAATTATGTCGATGTTGATCCCAAAACCTTTGAGGTTGATATGAGGGCCTTTAAAAAGGCCATCAATAAAAATACAATTATGGTAGGTAAACAAATATTTCCTTTGCTGAATAAATGCTAAACGTTTCTTTTTTATTTCATATAGCTTGCTGGCTCTGCTCCAAATTTCCCCTATGGCACTATGGATGATATTGAAGCCATTGCTGAATTGGGTTTGAAATATGACATTCCTGTACATGTTGATGCTTGTTTGGGTAGTTTTGTTGTTGCCTTGGCCCGTACAGCTGGCTATACAACCAAGCCGTTTAATTTTGCGGTGAAAGGTGTTACCAGTATTTCGGCGGATACACACAAGGTAAGGAACATTAAAATCAAATCTAATAATTTTTTTCACCAAATTCCTCTCTTACCCTTTAGTATGGCTTTGCTCCCAAAGGTTCATCATTAGTATTATATTCGGATGTTAAATATTTGAATCATCAATACACGGTCACCACTGACTGGCCCGGCGGTGTTTATGGATCACCTACCGTTAATGGTAGCCGGGCTGGTGGTATTATTGCCGCCTGTTGGGCCACCATGATGAATTTCGGTTTCAATGGTTATTTGGAGGCTACGAAACGTATCTTGGATACATCACGTTATGTGGAAATGGCGTAAGTGAAAAAACCTCTGCAAAATTAGGTAGCGTCACTAATAAGCAATTTTTTTTATTTTGTTTTCAGTCTACGTAAAATTGATGGCATTTTCATTTTCGGCAAACCTGCTACCTCTGTCATTGCCATGGGCTCAAATGTATTCGATATATTCCGTTTGTCTGATGCTCTGTGCAAAAAGGGTTGGAATTTGAATACACTGCAATTCCCATCAGGGTAAGATGACTTGAAATTAAATTAAGTACAAAATAAATATGGTCTGTATAGAGACCACAGGTCTTTATAAAGACCAATTGGTCTGTATAGAGACCACCTGTCTTCATAAAGACCAATTGGTCTGTATAGAGACCACCGGTCTTTATAAAGGCCAATTGGTCTGTATAGTGACCACCTGTCTTTATAAAGACCAATTGGTCTGTATAGTGACCACCTGTCTTTATAAAGACCAATTGGTGTGTATAGAGACCACAGGTCTTTTTAAAGATCTGCATAGAGACCATAGGTATTTATAAAGACCAATTGGTCTGTGTAGAGACCACAGGTCTTTACAAATACCAATGCCTCTAGGAGACATTTAAATCTGTGATAAAATCTCTTTGGTTCCTGTTTCTAATTGCTATTTTTCCCTTCCTAATTGTTTACAGCATTCACATTTGTATTACCGATATGCACACTGCACCCGGTGTTGCTGATCGTTTTATTGCCGATGTTCGTGAAGCTGTTGGTGAAATTATGAAAGATCCACAACAACCGGTCTCGGGTAAAATGGCATTATACGGTATGGCTCAAGCCATTCCTGATCGTTCGATTGTTGGTGAAGTTACACGTTGCTATATCAACAGCATGTATTCCATTCCATCAAAGAAGAAGTGAACACTCAAATGATGTGATAGGTGATAGATCCAGTGATTTGTAGCAAAGGAACACAAAATATATATTTTTTATAATTAAAAAAGAGTAAATTAAATAATTATTTTCCTGTTATTTACTACTTAAATGTATTTAAGCGTCTATGTATTTTTTATTATTCGTATTTTGAAACATTGTTGAACAAATATATTTTTGTAAAATGTATAAAACAAACGATTAAGGGGATTGTATTTGCATATATTTTTTTTTAAGGAAATCAATGAGGAAGGACATATTTTTGTTTCAATTGATTATTATTTAAAAAGGACGTTTTCTTTAATGTCCATATCTACAATATTTTAAAATTTGAATCCAATAAATGTCGTTCATTATTTTTATACAATAACGACTGTGCTCGCCAAAAAAACAGTTACTACCATTTTGGGAATGACGCGCATTTTTGTCTGTTGTGTCCACTTAATTAATGCCTTTGCTATGTTTTCATGAATGAACTGAATTTTTGAATGGCGGTTGACGACTTTTTTTGATGCCAAAAACACCCACACCATATTTTAGTTTGTTTTTGCAATTTTGACATATTGAAGACCACACACATGGAAAGAGAGCGTCGGAAAAAACCCTGCTTAGATTAGAGTTTTGTCAAATACATAGGTATGCGCCAGACATAATAACGCCACTAGTTTTACGTATTCTCGTAATCTGTTATAATTTCCCGAGCATCGAACATTGGCAGCGGCTAGAGAACATTTTATTTATGGCTGGTTAACATTGCCGTACCAAATTTGTCAAAACCACATTTATTACTACAATGTAATTGAATGTGAAATACTTGAAATTTTTTGCATTAATGCGTTTGATAAAAAAATACTGAACAAGATTATTAAGGGGAAGTATGCTAAGAGGAAAGATAATAGGTCACTAGGAAAAGCAATTTATAGCAGCAGGATAGTCTAGACAAACAGGATAGTCTAGCTTTAGCACTTGTAATTTAAGGTCTCATTTTTTCCTGTAGCAAAAAATCGATGGCGAAGTAAAGTGAACAAGACTACAGTCTTTACAAAAGGAAATTCAAGAAGGCCTTATTTCTAGGAGATGCTAGATGGCAGCACATTACAAATTATTTCAAGATATTTGTAATAAGATGAGAAATAGGAAGCAATTCTTCTCTGAAGATTCCATTTCATAGAAAAATTTTCCTCATTGACTTTTTTCTGTGGGAAACCCCTCTGAACTAATGTCTGATTTTTTCTATAGAAAACAATCATCCTCAGTGGAGATCGGAGTTCGAAAATTGGTTCCTTTTCAGCTGAAAATTGAGTTTTTTGCTTTCCCCCTGTTCAGCTAAGAACTGGAATTTTTTTTAAAGGACTAGGGTATAATTTGTCTGTAGAATAGAAAAAATCACATCAGCTAAGAATTGAGGTCCTATTCATATGCACTGATGTCTGAATAGGACCTCAATTCTTAGCTGAGTAATTAAGGAAAGTAGTAAAGTCGGATGGGGCCGACTATATGATACCCTCTGAGACTTGCCAGAGATTAATTTATATTAACTACAGTTCATTGTACAAAATTGTGTGGCAATCGGACAAACTTTGGGTCTTTAGTGCACAATTTACATAAAATCGGAAGAAAATATTGGAGCTATGCCTAAATCTGAACAGAAACATAGCACACATCATTCTAGAGTTAATTCAATACGCTGTGCCAATTTTCGTGCAAATCGAAAGATATATAGAGTCTTTGGTGCACCATTTACCTTAAATCGGGCGAAAATATATATGGAGATTTCTAAATCTGAACCGATTTTCACAAAACTTAGCACACATTATTCTAACCTTAATTCAGTACGCTGTGTCAAATTTCATGTAAATCGAAAAATATTTAGGGACTTTGGTACACCATTTACCTTAAATCGGACGAAAATGTATATGGGAGATATATCTAAATCTGAACCGATTTTTTCCCAATTTCAATAGGGTTCGTCCTTGGGCCAAATAAATGAGCTGTGCCAAATTTCATCCAATTTGTTTACAATTTAGCATCAACAGACGGAGGGACAGACAGACGGACATGCATAAATCGACTTAGAAAGTGATTCTATGCATGTTCTCAAAAGGAACCATGTCCTTATCTCGTTTCCTTTTGCCTGTTACAAACATATGCACAAAGACATAATACCCTGGACCCCAACCACTGCACAAACTCTAATGAGACGATGTTTCTCGGCAACGATAGGTGACACTTCCATTATCTAGGGCATGCTACATGATACCAATCATATACATAGCTAAAATAAAAAAAATATGATTAATGAACCTGCTCCAAAGAGGAATAACACGTCTTTTCGATAAAAGATCAGATAATAATTTGGGAGTGAAATGGACCGAAAACTTATTTTTAGTGTTATTTTCGAGTCGATCTATAGACCACAAATGAAAGCCGAACATCACAACACAACCCACGGTGAAGGGAATCTGGACGATAGCTGTACGGAATACTCAAGTTGTGGATTTATTAAAATATTTTCAGAGGCCTATACCAAGACGTGGATTTATTAAAATATGTTTCAAGGGCCTATACCAAGGCGTGGATTTATTAAAAATATTTCCCCACATTACTTACATCCTTCTAACAAGGTGGCAACGTCATTGTAACCAATATTGGTTGGTTGCCTGGTTGTTTGGTTCGTTGCTGGTTGGTTGGTCGGTTGCCGGGTTGGCTGGCTGACTGCCTGTTGTTTATACCTTTTTAGTAGCGGTTTTGATTTCAATATGTCAGCACGTATAGTGTCGGCACGACGGTCGTTTCTAAAACTACACACAATCAAATCGTTGTCGTTCTTCGTCGTCGTTTCAATATTTGTTTGTTTTGTGCTGCCGTTGTTGTTGTTTAGCAACAAATAATCACATACATGACAACAACAATAATAACATATAGTGCACCATTATCATTGAATGCAAATAATAATAATAAAAAAACAACAACAACTAAGAAAAATATTTAAAACACCTACAAAAGAAAATTCAAAATATCTTTAAGATAAAGTGCAACAACAAAAAAATTGCTATAATACAAATATTTGGTATTAAAAAAATACAATTGATAAGCTTCAGCAATGCAATAATTATTTTTGTTAGTTATTTCTTTTTTGGCCCCTCGGGTCCCTAGTCCAAAATTCACAACGGCTTGCAAAACATTTGATGATTCGAAAACAAAATGAAATAAAATGTCTCTGTGTGTGTATTTCGTGTTAATTTCCTAGAGTTGCTTAGTATGTGTGTATAGTTAATTATATTACCTTAATTGTTTAAAAAAGTAAAATAAAAAATAACAACAACAAAAAATACATAAAATATTTGACGAGTTTATTTATAAAAAAATAATTTTCAAATTATAAGAACTCAACGTTTTTTTTTAAGAAAAAAGTGAAATAATAAAAAACAAAAATTTCAAAATTCAATTTGTATATATTACTCTCCGATATTTTCAAAATAAAAGTGTTTTTGATTTCAAATTTAAAAAAATAATAATAAAATTAAAAAATAATCAAATTTTGCAGTTACGAACCGCCTTTGGGATTACAATTCTTACGGATATTCTTCGCAAAATCGCCCTAAGGTAATTTTAGGAAATAATTTTTTTTAATTCATAAAAATATTCCAAACATTTTAACTAAAAAAATGGATTTTAAAACGTGCGAAATCCCTGGAAATTTATTTAAAATAAAAAATATATGAAATAAATAATTCAAAATAAAAATAAATATAACAATTGAAAGGGGTTAAGTTCGGCCGGGCCGAACTTTGGATACCCTCCACCATAGATATACTGACAGGTACTTGAAATGAAAATATAGGCAAAATACCAAAAAGCGGACTCATACCGACATTTCTACAAACCGATTATGTAGCCCCCAGAGGGGCTAGTCCTAAATACGGGTTGTCGTTCATATATAGTTCATTATCGAACCTTACGTTCTAATTTTTTATCTCGATATCCTCCGCTGGTGAAATGCTTGCAACAGAGTCTTAGAACCAAACCCAAAACGCGGAACAAATTAGATAACTATTTTAATATATTATATAATAATATTTCAGCACCCTATCTCAATTCCTTCAGAAGATAGCGTGATTACAACAGACGGACGGACATGGCTAGAATTTCACCCTGATCAAGAATATATATACTTTATAGGGTCGGAAATGAATATTTTGATGAGTTACAAACGGAATGACAAAATTACAAACGGAATGACAAAATTAAAACCTCTTGAAGTTCGGATGATCGGATCTTTTTATAAAAATAGTTATTTTCCAGATCCCATGCGTGGATTTTTAAAAAGTTTTTTTTTTCACAGCCTATACCAATGAGTGGATTTAAATTAAATGGATTTTAAAAATAAGTCGTCGATTTTTACAAATATTTTTTATAGAGCCTATACTAAGGCGTGGATTTTAAAAAGATATTTTTCCAGAGCCTATACCAGGGCGTGAATTTTTATACCCTTCAACACACTGTGGTAGAAGGTATTACGTCTTTGTGCAAATGTGTGTAACAGGCAAAAGGATACGAGAGAGACACATGGTTCCTTTTGAGAATATGCATAGAATCACTTTCTATGTCGATTTATGCATGTCCGTCCGTCCGTATGTCTGTCCATGTTCAATTGTAAACAAAGTACAGGTCGCATTTATGATTCGAATTGCATGAAATTTGGCACAGCTCATTTATTTGGCCCAAGGGCAAACCCTATTGAAATGGGAAAAATCGGTCCAGATTTAGATATAGCTCGTAGTTTCGTCCGATTTTATGTAAATGGTGCACTAAAGTCCCTATATATCTTTCGATTTGCACGAAATTTGGCACAGCGTACTGAATTAAGCCTAGAATGATATGTGTTAAGTTTCAAGTAAATCGGTTCAGATTTAGATATAGCTCCCATATATAGTTTCGTCCGATTTTATGTAAATGGTGCACCAGTCCATAAATATCTTTCGATTTG